CGAGTTTGAACGTGCAAACGGATTCTATCCGTGCTAAAGTATTTGTGTAGCTACCTCCCCTATGCAGATTAGTTGTAACTCTTGAACTCGCATTTGTTAATTTTATTTTCATTTGTACCCTTGATAATGGCGTCACGAAGTCGCCGAAACGTCGGGATTTTATATCGCTCGTTTTTACCTGTCTATGTATTACTAAATCTTTGTTAATATTATTTATTTAAAATTTTTTAATTTAAATCTTATCTTTGCATTTATTTTCCTTTAAATGCATCGTTTGAGTTAATTTGACTGATACTAATATATATATATATATACATACATGCATATATTTCCTTACTTATCCTACCCGTATATTAAATGTATTATTGATACGTACGATTATTCATACTAGGAGACGTATATATTTTTAGCTGTTAATTAGTAGATAGCAGGTTCACATCAGCATTAGCTGCCATTTCCTCAACCTGCTTTACCAAATAAAGGATGTATGTATGTAAGTATGTACATGGCGACCGCCAAATCTTCAAACGGTTGCTTAAACATGAAAGCCAAGAGAGACATAAAATATGATAAATTGACTTTTGGTTTAGTTATCTCAATATTATACTGTAATATACGGATACACCTGTCTCTTATCTCCTTGTACGCATTCAAAAACTCTCCAAACGTATTGATTGAATTGATTATTACTTTTTTTGAGATGTCAGATTTTAGAGTTTATATTGTAGATTAATAATTGTTGTTAACTAGACTGTTGTCCCCAATATTAGTTTGTGCCTGTGCTGCTAAATATTTTTTGACACTGAAATAAAGTTCTTGTTTTTGGGTTGTGACGTGACTTCTACAGACGACGATAGATGTTGCTTTTGAACACCATTGTATTGTCTGGCCCTCCAATCGGAGAGCATTTTATAACTGTCACACTGTTGAAAGGTTTCTCAAGGTTTTCGGACCTTTCGTTGCTGCTGCCAGGGATGTTTAAGTTCGGCTCAACGTTTTCTGCTTTTGTTTCTTCTCCATCACCGTCGCCATCAATGGAAATTGTTGCGGACTTTATAATCGCCTTTCGTTTTGTACATGGCTTGTCCGACATTAGCTGGTCCACTTCGTCGAAGAAAGCCGGCTTTTTCTTTGATGTGGCATTTCCCGTCTTGGTGCATTCGTCTTTGTAACTTCTGTACGCGCTTATCAGAGTGTGAATTCGTGTCTTGCAACTGCTGTCGTCTCTGTCTTCGTAGCCTGCAGCTCGAAGATATGCCGCAATTTCTAGCCATATAGACTTTTTTCGTCTACATGATTTTAGCTTAAGCTGGATATTCTCGTCTCCCCACTTTTCAAGCAACAGGAGGGTTTCTTTATGCTCCCAAACTCTTCCGCGCGTTTTGGTTTCTGTCGCCATTTTGAATAGGTTTTATCAAACACGATTGTTAAACTACCTGACGAGGTAGTTTTGTTAAACACGGTTTAAGACGCGTTTTCTTAAACGCGCCCGCAGTGTGAACGGCCAGTCCTCTTTAATATGTTTATCAAAAAAAGTTTAAAACATGTTTAAGCTTTGGTGTGAACGGAGTATAAGTCTTGTTCGAAAGGTTGTGGAATTATTGGGAAGCTTAAGCAACCACGACGACGAACGGAGGACGACGACCGGAGGTAGCGAGAACGTCACTGCGCAAGCGCGAACCAAGAATTCCGCCGTCGTCTTGTCGTCGATGACTTGGAAAAGGACCTGTTTCACGTCGTCGTGAACCTCCGAACTTCAAAGCAGTTTTCCTAATCAACAGATGCGGGTTTATTGTGTTTTTTTTAGACAGCCTATGGCCGCATAGTTAGAGGGGACTGGTTAGGAAACGCGGCAAACTTCAAAGAGCCGGCCTATTGTCTATCCCCTGAGCTTCGATTGAACGTCACGTGAGCAATGACCCTGCACAGAACCAAGACAACATGGCGGACATGAACGACTTATTTTTCTTCGGCGACGATTTTGATGCCATATTGGAAACCTTGGAAAACGAGGAAGAATAATAAGAGCACTTTGTCGAAGCAGCTGCCTCTGTAAGTCTTTGAAAAGCCTTTAAAGCGTTGTTTTCGCCCAAAAGCTTTGTAGTTATTGATGCCCTTAGCAACGGGATCGGTCGTAGTACAGCAACATATTTTTTCACTGAAAGTCTTTCGATTTTTAGGTTCAATACGAAGAGGGAATTGTTTGCGAGTTGTGCCAAAAGAAATGCAAGACTAAGGCTGGATTGAAAATACATAAGACAGTAAAGCATAAGGAGGAACAAGCGCGGGGAAATCAACCGAATCAAGAAGCCAAATTCACTGCTGAAGACTTCGAAGCGTTATCAATGAAAGCACGAGATAAAATAATTGAAAGAAACACTACCCTCAAAGCGCAAGAGAACAGCTACGAAGATATATGATTGCCTGGAAAGAAGAAAATATTCTTCTCAAAAGTAGAAGCCATGTATATGCGTTTGGTTGATATTGGAAATGCAGAACAATTCTACTCGAAGTACTATTCAAAAATAAGCCTCAGTTTAACAAAGATGTTTTTGGGGTTGTCAAGTAATGCGGTAACATTGCTTAGTACCAAGGTGGCTGATTTTTTGATAGCTCATAGCAAACAGAAAGATGAATCACAAATCCCAATATCCCTACTTAACTGTGTGATAGAGAAATCGCAGGGTTACAATATATTAGAGGATATGTATTGCACAAGCTTTATAGCAAGGTGAACAATGTATACAATCCCACAGCACATACTGAACAAACAGCTTCAATACTTAAAGCTGGCAAAGCAAAAGATTTGCTTGTTGCAGAGAGTCTAAAACTAATTTCATCTTTAAACCGAGGTGGACTGTGGGCTATTTCTAAACAAGCTCAAACAATTTTTAAGAGAATAGAACATAATTTTAGGATTCTGACCTCAAGAAGTCCCCAGCTGAAGATTGACAATGCTAAGATAGAATCCAAATCACCTTGTGATGTTCAATTGGTCTCAACATATAACACCATGTTGTTGGACTCAGACATAGTGGTAGATAACAGCATTGCAAAAGATGTATTGGAAAGCATTATTCATTTATAGGTTACTGTACAGTGTTTTTCACTGGCCAAAGATGTTATAGAGAAACACAAAATTCAATGTAAACAAATGAAGACAAAAGCACTACGAAAGGAAATTTGTAGAGCCAGCAAAGAACAAGAAAGGCAGATATAGTTAGAATTAAGAGCCTGCAACAATTTTTCAATAAGTAATTTATTATAAAAGATTAATTTGGTAGCTACAACCTGCAACATATTAAATATTGCTCAGTAATGATTATTTTATAGACAAATATGAGTATAAAGGCTATATGGTTAAAGTATCTAACATAGAGTAACTTGTTTATTTTCAGTATTTCTAGTCCTAGTTAATGTTGAGTTTCTTATCTAACATGCTACTGTATATACATTTATTTATTAAAGCTAAAACCTCTGGAAGATAGTTTCTTAGAACATACTAATACAATGTTATCATAAAAATTATGTATTTGAATGTGAACTTCAATAGAAATGAATCTCTTTTTGGGCCTATTACTCATTGTCTTTTTTCCTTTTTTTCTTTGGGACAGGATCATTCGAAATATTAACCCATGCCTTGTCTCCATCTCTTCTTCCTCTTGTGTTACCTGATTGGCACGACACTGCACGTTGGACCATGATCGCATTGTTATTGTACCCAAATGTTCTCATGTCAGGATTGTCACTTCTTCGTCCCAGCTTTCTTTGGTTGCCAAAGTGCTCTTCGACAGATCCCTGGCAAAATCTCTCTGTAAGTACATATTCCATACCTTCACCCAGGAGGAAATTTGTTGCTTTTACAACAGAGTGGGCTGTAATTTGCAAACCTTCATAGGTCTGCCAGGATAAAAACATACGGCTTTGGGCATTTTTGGAAATTCCCAGGTCGGTTGGTTATGCTTTCTCTCCAATCCCTTAGATAGCCAAGGATATCACTTTCTAGCCAAGTGAATCGGGCATCATTCTGTGATGCATATGGTGCCAAAAATGGTTTCCTCTTTTTCTCGTGCTCTTTCGTACTTCTCACATTGAGACAATCGAAGAAGGAATCGATCATGCCGCTGCACAATTTGGCTGTTGCTTGTATCTCTGGAGTTCCAAACTCCCTCAACACTGCTGCTACTGATGCACTTAGTACTTGGGCTGCCAGATTAACCTTCGTGGTGGAATAGGAATTTAACTTAATATGATTGTAGGTTATTCTTGGTAGCAACATCAACCCATTTCTTACATCTTCGTAAAATAGGTGAGCTATGTGCTGCCAAAGAATAAAATGACCATCATTCCGCATGTACCTAAAAAATAAAAATATATCAAAATTAGAAATACATTAAATTTCTATTATTGCATTATTTCATTGTTGCAATTACGTGTAAAAAAAAAACAAAAACAAAACAATAAAACAAAAACAAGAAAACAGACAAACAACAGATGCTGACAAGGAAATACATTGTGAGGATTGCCATTACAAATGCGCCACAAGAAACATTGATGAATTGATTGGCAAAAATAAGCAAAGACATTTTAATGTCTTTTTTAATATCTGTGTACTTAAAAGTACACAGATTTCAATGCCCATTTGTGATTTTAAGACATCTTACCTGGTACATGATGCATGGCCAGAACTGTAGAGGCAGTTACGTGTTGTTTTCACTAGGTGAGGAGCATCTGAAAAGAAATAGATGAAGCGATGTTTGGCATACAAGTTGATGGTGCGGTAGCACACATCACCATCAGCATTGCCCTTTGTGCATTCGGAAGAACCTCATGTTCGGTGATGTCCCGTCGGAAGTACTTGCAATGACCCATATATAGGTTACATGACATCTCAAGGATGCCAACAGCCTCCCAGAAGAGCGGCATTAGTTGGTATGATGTGATACCATCCGTAGCAAAATAAGCTAAACTGAATTTGAGCTCGGTGCACACACCTCGTGGCCGGTTGGAGTTTGTATTCGCTTTTTCGGTTGATTTAAACCTCCCTGTTCAGTTTTCTAATCAGATAAAATTCGAAAACCCACAACTAATTTTCCTTCCTCCGAACAACAGATGTCGAGTCAACCGGTGAAAGCGACCACGTAAGGTTTATTTGAGTATATTTTATGAAAGAGTGTTGTTTATCATTTTATTGAATGAAAAGTTTTAAATGGCAGTGTAATATACCTCTGCGTTCGGTCAAAAGCTGTTTGTATGGAACTGCCGGATTATTACTACTAACAAATTTTGCGCGTTGCAGTTCTTCAATGGAGACGCTTTAAACAGCAAAGAATTCTTCAGATCGGTGTGTTAACATGAGCTTGAATACCTGTCAGGTTTTGCCAATTTATTTTCGAAATGTTTAATATAGACTTACAGCCATAAAAATTACTCCGACAAAATCACACGGGAAAAAGTAGTATTCTTGGGTGAAGCGCGACGACTGCTATCTGTGCCGAACGCTAGCTAGCTAGCATTGATTAAATTGACAGACTTAGTTGTTTGCTCGCCAAAGGAAGGAGCATCAAAGGTAGAACATATCAGGCTAAATAACCTTTAGAAGGCTAGATAAGGCTATAGAAAGAACTAGTTGCGAGCCGCCGCCATTTTGGTACCGATACCTTTAGTCACCAATCTTCGTTTACGAATTCAACGTTATTAATTTTACGGTAAAGACAGAGAATGAGTGAAGTTGTAACGCAATATTCTTTACTAAATATTGGCAAAAGTAGACTTGCTTGCCGTTTAATTATTTCACGCGAAAGAAATGGGAATATTAGGCTTGTTGTTAAGCGTTTATTGAGCGTAAAAGGGCAACGAAGTGTAACATCACTACGTGAAAAGCTCGCAACAAGTTCTTTCTATAGCCTTATCTAGCCTTCTAATCTGGTTTTCGATTCTCAGAAGGGAAGAAAGGCGACAACCGTCGAGTTCGCGGGCTGCATGTAACCTTCCACAGCCAACAACGACAGATGGGTTTTTATCCCTGCTTTCCTTTCAAGCTGTCATCCATTTCCCGTGAGGCGGCATTTGTTTTTGTTTGCATATACGAACACATTTAAGATTTAAGAAAGTTCTAAGGTAAAGTTGAGCTTCATTGTGGATTTGAAAGAGGACAATTCAATCATTTATACCGGTAGGTCAAATGTTCTTTGCCGAAGACTTTAAAGAAGGGAAGCAATCTGTTACTAGTGTAGATGTAACACACTCAAGCATTTGTCACGCAAGGCTGAAATTATTTTAATTTTGTTCCCGTTATTACATTTAATTTTCTCCTGATCTCCAACATGGAAGCATTAGCAGAGGGTGCTAATGAGGTTAATAGTTAACTTACAATTGGCCCAAAAAATAGTAGTTAAC